ACTGCGCCCCCCCGGCCGGCGTGACGTGGCGGGAGGGGCTGCACTACAACCCCTACTTCCCGGGCCAGGCCATCGGCATGGCCCCCCCCATCTACAACGAGATCCTGGAATTCGAGGACGGTAAGAGGGGCACGGGGCCGGCGCGGCGCGGGGCCATCCCGCGGGGGGGGCGGTTGCCGGGGCGCTCAGCCTCCCCCTGCCGCTCTCCCCCAGGTACCCCGGCCACCATGTCGCAGATCGCCAAGGACATCTGCACCTTCCTGCGGTGGGCAGCAGAGCCGGAGCACGACCACCGCAAACGGATGGGCTTGAAGGTGGGTGCCTGCCTCGGGGGGCAGCAGTGCCCCCGCCCCGGTGCCCAGACCCCCCTGTGCCGCGCTCGGCCCCGCGCCGGGGCGGTGGCTCCGTGGGGCAGAGCTCGACTCGGTCCTTCCCGCAGATGCTGATGATCTCGGGGCTGCTGGCTTCCCTCCTGTACTACATGAAGCGCCACAAATGGTCTGTGCTGAAGAGCAGGAAAATGGTCTACCGGCCCCCCAAGTAGGGGGGCAAGCGGGGTGCCCCCCACCCCGGCTGCACCGCCTGGGCCACGCACAACCCCTGGGCTGCGGGGGGCCGCAGCCGGCAGCGCCTGCCCCCGCTCCGGCTCCTTATTTAATGTTGCCCTCGGCCCCCGCGGGCGCCGACGCTCAGAGGGGCTGGGGGCACGGAAATAAAACTGGTGGTTCTTCAAGGGGAAAGCGAGGTGTGGCGTCTGCCTGCACCACGGCCGCTGCGGCCCCTCGGCACCGGGTTGTGGGCTTGCAAAGGGCCCCTCCCCATCGCCCCCGTCTCGGGAGGGTGAGATATGAGCACGCATGGCTTTATTGGGAGCCCCGGCAGCGCCGGGCAGTGCCGCTCCCTGCCGTGGAGGCTCCGCTGCCGCCAGAGGGTCCGTGGAGCCCCCAGCCTGCCCCCGCATCCCGGCATCGCCTGGGGCCTGGCTGCTGCCCGCTCCCTGCCGGGCCCCGCGGCACCTTCCTGCCCCGTGTCCGTCCTCTCCTTCCCCGGCTGCCGGACGTGGCTCTGCCTTGCGACCGCAAGCGTCTCTGGGCCCTACTCGGGCCGCGGTGCCGGCTCTGACCCCGGCTGCGCTGTCCCTCGGTGCGAGGACCCCCGCATCCCGGCATCGCCTGGGGCCTGGCTGCTGCCCGCTCCCTGCCGGGCCCCGCGGCACCTTCCTGCCCCGTGTCCGTCCTCTCCTTCCCCGGCTGCCGGACGTGGCTCTGCCTTGCGACCGCAAGCGTCTCTGGGCCCTACTCGGGCCGCGGTGCCGGCTCTGACCCCGGCTGCGCTGTCCCTCGGTGCGAGGAGAGCGGCTCCCGGCCCCGGCTACCTCCGGTGGGTCCCCCGTCCCCGCGGGGCTGGGCCAGGCAGGGGCTCAGTGGCAGTTTTGGCACCGGGGGTGGCACCTCTGTCCGTTGACGTTGCAGCGACATCCACCGCTGGTGTCCCCGGGACCCTGGGTGGGGAGAGCGGGTCAGGGTCGGGGTGGGAGCCCACCTCGGGGCTGCCGGGGCCGGCTCTGCCGTGGCCAGAGCGTGGTCCGGGGCCCCGTGGGCTCCCCCGTCGCCCACCCCGCCTGCGGGGACGGGGGGTCCCTCCTGCCCCCCAGGATGGCTCACCCCCGGCCCCCAGCGCGGCCCCTTGGTCACCCAGCAGATCTCGGTCTGGCAGACGGTGCAGCGGATCCAGTCGCAGCCGTCCTTCTTCTGGACGATGATGAGGCAGGTGGGGCAGTGCATGGCCTCCCCGATCTGCACCAGGGTCTGGGGTGGGGGACAGATGGCCATGAGGGACGTGGGGAC